ATATATATATATATATATATATATATATATATATACATATATACATATATATATATATATATATATATATATATATATATATATATATATATATATATATATATATATATATATTTTAAACATCTTCGCTTCCAACAAGGCTGCAAGCAACCACTAATTAGTGTTGGAAGTTACTGGAAGAGAAAAGATAAAGATTGTAGAGCAAGATAACGATTGACAGATGACTTAAAAGATTGCAAATTATATGAATCAGGAAAGCAAGATGAAGGAAGCCAATTCCAAAGAACTGATGTTCAAGGAAAAAAACTAGACAAATAAGAGTTGTTGGAGCACTTAGGAACAGTAACAGAAAAAGGATGAGACTTAATTGAATGACCAGTAACACGAGAATGAATTTTGGTAGATGGCACAAAGGACGCTAGCTCTTTAAAGCAGTGCCTATTATAATATTTGTAGAAAAGAGAAAAAGAAGCAACATTACTACGATTGGAAAGGAAGGATTAATTAATCTTAAAGATGTTTCCAGATACACCGTAAGTTGATAGCTTATGGAGAAGACCAGCATGCCAAACTAAGCGTTTTATTATCAAACGCTTTAGAAATGTCAAGAGCGATGGCCTTAACCTCTCCATTATCTAATGCACGATAAAACCTATCGGTTATTACTGTTAGCAAATCAGCAGTAGAATGAGAAGATCAAAATATGGCTGATGATTGCCATTTGGCATAAAACTCAAAGTTCCATAATAAAAAAATTTTCTTTTTTGTTTTTAATTATATATATATATATATATATATATATATATATATATATATATATATATATATATATATATATATATATATATATATATATATATATATATATATATATGTATATATAAGTATACATATATATATATATCAAGTCTTCCCAGGGAAGGAGTGTGGTCACACAACTTGTACGTCCACGCCACGCCTTGAGTAATTTTTTAGACAACTTTACCACGTTTTTTTTATAGTAAGCGTTTTAAGAATTTGCAATAAGCTTTAAGAAACTAGGGAATAAATCAGCAATACTCGAAGAAAAGAACCGACTATACAAAATAGAAAATTTTAATAAAATAAGTTTAAAAAAATGTAATAATAAGAAAAAGAAAACTGTTATCAAAAAATAATATACAAAAGTATTTACTGTTTTGTTTTTTTTTCTTATTTTTAGAATGTTAGAAACTTCTGTTTCTAACAAACTTTTTAAGACTTTTAAAACTTTTGTTTAAATTTTTAAATACATTTTTTAAACAGAGCAATTTTATGTTCATTATCTCTAGTAACTCGTATTAACATTGAATATTGGGCAATATAATAGAAACAACGTCACACATGCATCAAATGCCACAAATACATTTATTAAAGAAACTTATTCCATCATTAATAAAATTTATTAATCAAATAATATTTTTTACAAATAAGTAACAATCTATTTTCTTATTTTCTATAATTATTCCTATAATATTATATAAGTATCGAGAAATAACATCAAATATAGAAAAAAACTTTTTTAAAAAACTTTTTTAAAAGCAAAACAAGGTAAAAACGAATAAACGAAATAAACAAATAAACGTAAGAAAAAAAAATTTACAAAATTTCTTATAGTAGTAGTATACATAGCAAATTAGTTTCTTAATTTTATGGATTGATAAAAATCATGAATAAATTGCATATCAAAACTTTCAATTGTTGTTAAATCATTTTTTCATTAATGATTATTTTTTTAATTAATAAATTTATTTAATTAAACATGGAATTTCGTTACAATTTTGTTTCCTTATTTAAGAACTTTTGTTTTTGTTTCTAAATAAATAAGTTTTGCTTTTTGCCGCAAAATTTCAAAACGCTTTATAAGTTAAAAGATGCGAACTGTTGTATTATCAGGAGCTATTCTAGACCGTTTTTGACAGCGTCGAATATATTTGTGTGCCACCCAAATTAGGATTTAAGGACCTTTTTTTTTATTTACATTTTTTACAACGAATAGTTTTTTTCTCATGAAAAAACATCAATTTTCGGCTGAAATTCTCCATGACAGAAGGGGTACAGCCACCCAATTTTTTTTCCCAGAATACCTGTATATATATATATATATATATATATATATATATATATATATATATATATATATATATATATATATATATATAAATTAAAAACGAAAAAGAAAAAACTTTTATTATGGAACTTTAAGTTTCATGCCTAACGGCAATCATCAGCCATATATTACAAAATTAAAAATTAAATGTTAAAATTACAATTAGAATAATGGTGGCGTGAGTTCTAATGACTCTATGGAAACAATATTGTGAAAGTTTTGAAAGTATAACGTGGCGCAAACCAACCAGGATCAATCTGCAGTATCAAATGAGGCAAAAAGGAATTATTTTCGTGCCTACACTTTGAGATTATTTTACTCCTTGTGTTAAGTAGATTTTCTCCTTTATAAAGCAAAATTTGAAACTTCTTGTTCCAAAAGAGGTTGCAAATTCTCGATGCTGTGTTGTATGGCTTGTATTGTTTTACAATTTTCAATCTGACAAAAGGTGTAAAGTTTTTTTTCTTATAATTTCCATACTTCTTTAGATAACTTTGTATCATCCTTATATTGGATTGCATTAAAGGATTTTTAATGGTTTGCGTACCAACTTTAAAAAATGTTACGCTGAGTACAAAATACACTTTTTGTTTGTATTCCGGTATTTTAACTGGAAAATGGAGGTTGATGAGGTTCAAAAAATCTATTTTGTTACAAAATATGCACTTAAAGGAGAATTATACCAAATTATCTTGCGTTTATGATTGCCATTTGTTGATTTTATACTTGGATGGTATGCAAGTTCACAATTATACCCAAATTATTTAAAGGCTTCTTCATAAGGAGAAACACTTTCTTTAAAAATCGATTCGTTTGACGATGCTGCTGATAATCTTAAATTAATTGTTTTAGGAATACTTTTTATTACACTTGGTCGATAATTAGAACTAGTATGTATATAATTTAGTACCATAGAATCACCTAACTTTGGCCACTTTTAAATTTCAAATTAGTGTAACTTTATAAGTAGAGCTTGCACCAGTCTGCAAATGGTCTTAAAACATGGGGTTCTACTCGACCTACATGGTGATAGCTCGTTATTACGCTATCATGCATGTGCGTTGAGTTATTTTAGAAAAAGATGGGTGGCCAAAGTTAGGAACAATTTCCCTAACTTTGCCCAGCTAAAATTTTTCAGTATAAAATAGCTAATAAATGAATGTATAGCTAAACTTAAGTATCTTTGTAACAATTTTTGTAACCTATTTGTTTATAGTTTACGGGAGCAATTTAAAGCTCTTGCTAAAGTATAATTTTTCTTACGAAAATATAATTATTGTAGTAATTAAAATAAAAAACACAAAATGTTGAACTTGTTATTTAATTACAGCAGTAATTTTATTTTAAAATTGTTTTCTAATGATATATTAGGTAATAGTATAAAGAGCTGCTTTATTATCACTTGAGAAATTGTAGCTTTAAAACTGTTTTCCGAAAGTGAATTATTTTTGTAACCTATTTGTTTAAAGGCACAATATAAACTCTGCATAATTTTGGTTTAACAAACGAGATCAACACAAAAAAAGAGATTAATCCTCATTCAATCGAATCAGCCAAAGCAAATGTTCGAGATGATTTAGGCACCGGCAGAATGTTCAACTTGCAAATAATGTCTTTCAAGGCAATCCAACAGGAGTCCTCCTTTTCGGGCCACTTAAAAGAGGCGGATGGTCCATTAAAAGAGGTGGGATGCATAAACTTTATCTTGACATCATTTTCAGTGTTTGAAACAGCTTCTATCATTCCAATCCACCACTGCTCTTCGTAGACAACAGCTAAAAATTCTTCAACCTTCAAAGTTGAAATGTTTACAACCATGGACACTATGCCATCCAGATTTTCTGCCTCTTCTTTTGTTTTTGCGCTAGAAGTTAAGGAATCGTGGTCGGAATCGTCTGATGACAAAGCTGCTATACTTTTTCCCGCTTCAATCTGACACTTTTTCTTGGAATTTCTTGTTTTTGGCTCTTTGTCGTAACGCATTTTTTGAAGGACTTCCATCATTAATTCAGATAAGGCACTGTCATTGGCACTTTTTTCAGCTTGTTCAGAAGCAGAAGGAACACGATCCGGATCAAAGGGCCTGATACCACAAGCCTGAAAACCGATTATTTTTTATTTACAATAGTAGATAAAAAATAAATGTGTTATCAGAAATGGCATCCTTTTCTGTCTTAGAAGCCTCATATTTCATTAAAAAAACATGAATTGGTAAGAAATGCTGGCAAAAATTAGAAAACTATAAAAATCCAAAAACTACAGAATGCCCAACAAAACGCTGTCCAAAGACTAATACACTAATAATGACATGTTAAAAGATCTTTAGAGGTAGAGAAAGATTCAGGCTACAATACAAAGTTTATTCCATCAAAAAATATACAATACATGATGAGCAATAAAATAAAACAACAAAATACTGAAAGGTGGTCAAAGTTAGGTAGATGGCCAAAGTTAGGTGATTCTACGGTATATTATCTGGTTTGCAGTATGGCTGAAAAATCGTTAAGGTTTAGCATTAAATCGAGATAGTTAACTATTCAAATTACATTCAATAGAGATTAGAAGATTGTTATTTTTAAAAATTGTACCAAATGTTATATATATGTGTATATATATAACATTTGGCGGAAAGTGAGAGCTAAAGCTCGCCAGGAAGTGAGAGCTAAAGTTCTCACTTCCCACCGAGGCCTATATATATATATATATATATATATATATATATATATATATATATATATATATATATATATATATATATATATATATATATATATACATATACATATATCCAATATAAATATGTCTTCCAATAAATCTTTTTTGATGCAAATTAAATAAAACAAAATAAAATTTGGAAAAAAAAAATTAGAACCTTATTTCATGAGTATTACTTGTACTTGATACTTCAGCAGTAACACCACTGTCTTTTGTATCTGGTATAACATTTTCAGGGTATAAAAACACTTGTTTGTTTAGAATAAAGTTTTGATCAACATGTGATTTATTACTATTAAAAGAATTTTGTTCAGGATACTTTTTTGAATTATGTTCTTGATGATGTTCTTGATGATGTAAAATTGGCGAGGTATGTGAACTATGGTAGGTATCAGAAAAATCATCTTTATGCTTTTTTTTATTATAAGTAATTAATTTATCGGATTCTAGACTTCTAATTATTGAACTCTTAACTTCTTCATTTTTAGGCTTTTTATTTATCATTTTTAATTTTTCTTTTATTTCTTCTTTCTGTTTATTTTTGTGGTTGTATTTTATATATTCTTGCTTTAATAACTTCAATTTTCTTTTATATTGTTTATACTGACTCCATTTGACTTTTTCCATTTTACAATAGCTTTGCCAATGACCTATATATATATATATATATATATATATATATATATATATATATATATATATATATATATATATATATATATATATATATATATATATATATATATATATATATATATATATATATATATATATATATATATATATATATATATGAGATTAAATAAAAAATAACAAATAAAAAATAACTACATAATTTTTACTACTAAAAGTTTCATGCGTTTCTATATAGCTTCTTATATAGAAACGCATATGGGTAATTCCATGTAAAACTGGGACAAAAAATCAAAATTTTTCAGTCACCCTCTCAGATTTCTTTTAAATTTTACCCAGTGATACCTATCAATGTAACATGAAAAATGGATTTTGTAGTTGTAATTTTTAATGTATAATTTAAGATCTAGTTGAAGAATGAGGCTAAAAATGGATACCTGACCATTTTTGAGGGTGCTGAATTCAAAAATGTAAAGCAAATAGTGAAATTTAAATTTTATGATGGTTATTTTTTGATTTTAAAATGGTCAATCCAATTTTTTGTTCTGTTACCATGGGTTGCGCTTTCATCAACTCCCGGAGTTGCCTAAGTCTCATGGATTCAATTTTTTTTTTCAAATGAAGTAGGTGATCATAGGCTATCTTTATAAAAAAGATGGTTTTGGTTTCTTAAAGATATATCATTTTGAAATTTATACAAAAAAAATTCCTTATTTGGACTCAAATTCTCTTTCATAGATTTTTTAGCTATAGTTTAGGTGTAAATAATTTAAGTTTTAGTCGAAGAAACTGACTGAAAATTGGTACCTGACCATTTTTGAAGATGCTGAATCCAAAGTAGAAAAAAAAAAATAACCTAATTTAAAATGTTAGATAACTGTTTTTTATTTTAAAAAAAATGGTAAAAAAGCACATTACAAAAGAGGTAAGGTTTTCACAAGTTTCCTGATCACAAGACTCTCATGGGTTCAGTTGTGGTGTGTAAAAAGAGTTTTTTGAGGTAGGTTTTTATACATAAATAATGTTTTGTGAAGTGAATTGTCATTTAAAAAAATAGTTTTGTAATGCCTGCTGTGATGTATAAATATAGATTTGTGATGTCAGATATGTAGTATAAATATAGTTTTGAAACACCAGAAACCATAAACTTAAAACTATTTTAATTTTAGATTAAATAATTAGAGAATTTAGTAACTCAGTTTCTTAGTCATGCCAAACAGCCAACAGTGCTCCATTGGAATCAAGCTAGAAAGTGAATGTCATCTTGCAACATATACATCGTTGCTTGGAATTGAACCTTTTAAAGATATTCCTGAGTATGAAAGAGAAATATTAATGTGGAGGACTGGGCTCTCAAAAATCAATGTAAAACCAACAGCTTGTCGACATCATAAACATGTTTATTTGGAAGCGTTAGGCAACTAAATTAACACGATGCTGCAATCCATTTAATACTCATAACAAAGTTATAAAAGGTATTTATAGTAATCACAACTTTTATTTTGTGAAAATATTGTGAGTTACAAAAATGAAATTCTTTGCAGCCAATTTATTTTAGCCATATTTAGCCTTACTTTTAGCTGATTTCTAAAAGTGCACTATTAAATGCCATACAAATTTAAATTTAAAATAGTTTTAATACAATTTTTATACATATTAAAAGAGTTGTTCCCTTTTTTTAGGCAGTCTTCGTGAAATCAACTTGGATTCAGCAAAGTACTTATGCAGTAAAGGTGAAAAAGTTTGTCCACAATGCAGACATAAATTAGCATCAAGTGAAGAATCAGAAGAGAATGAGTTGAAGATAAAATTAACTGAAGATAATATGGAAAAAGAAATTATACTGGAATCAACAAGATTCTTCGCTAAAAGTTCATTTACCAAAAACCTCTAACAAGTCTTCACTTGGAAAGAGAAAGATAAAGCAAGTTGAAGAAGCAGTTATTAAGAAACTCGCAACTGCTCTGGATGTCACCGAATCCGATCTTGTTGCACCTAACAACTATTAAGTTCTAAAGGAAATTGAAACCAAAGCTGGCGATCTAGACTTCCTTGTTGAATGCATGAAAGAAAAACTTAAAGTTTCTAACAGAAGGCAGCAACTTTAAATTTTGACACTGACATCGAAATTTTGGTCTATCAGAAAAGCAGCAAAAGAGTTTTCACTTTCCAAACACAAAATTCAAAATGCAAAGCTTTTACGTGACCAAAAAGGCAACATTACATACCCCAATGTGGTTGAACGGCATCGAATCAGTAAAGATGTCATAGAACTTGTAAAGCTTTTTTACTGTGACGATGAGTATTCAAGGCAAATGCTAGGTAAAAAAGACTGTGTAAGTGTTGGGAAAATATATATATATGTCAAAAAAATTGATTATGTGTAATCTAAAGGAGCTTTATGTGGCATATAAGATTAAGTATCCAGACCATAAAATTGGATTTTCTAAGTTTTGCAGTCTTAGACCTAAATGATGCATCCTTGCTGGTCCAAAAAGTACACATTCTGTTTGTGTGTGTACAATACACCAAAATGTTAAATTAATGTTGAGTGCTGTAGGCCTTGAAATATCTTACCATGAAATCATTGAAAAGATTGTCTGCAGCAGAAAATCAAAAGTTTGCATGATTCACTGATGCAATAGTTGTCCTGGCATACAAGCTGCCTAAATTTATTTCCAGCAGTATCTTACACAAAATTATGATCCAAAATAGCAATATGACAGTGATAAAAATGAACAGTCAGTGGATTTCAAACAGTGGACAACGATAGATAGAACTGAACTATTAACAATACAACTTCCATTAAATGAATTCATAGAGCTCCTGTGTGAGAAACTTGATAAAATTACTTCTCATTTATTTATAGCAAAATCACAATCTAGCTATCTAAAGCATCTCAAAGAAACAATTAGTATTGATGAGGCTATTATACTGGCAGATTTTGCAGAGTATTACACTTTTGTAGTACAAGACGAGATACTGAGTTACCATTGGAGCCAGAGTCAATATTCTCTTTATCCAGTTGTCACCTACTACAAGAAAGTGAAATTAGAAATATCTTCTTTTTGTGTAATTTCAGATGATTTGAGTCATGATGTTGGATTTATCAATGAAGTTATGCATAAAACCATTAATCGCATAAAAACTCATCTTTGCCCTGCAATTACAAAAATTCATTATTTTTCTGATGGCTGTGCAGGGTAGTATAAAAACTGCAAATATTTTTACAATTTATGTCACCATGCTCAAGATTTTTCTGTTCAGTGCATCTGGAATTTCTTTGCAATAAACCATGGCAAATGGTGGAATAGGTGGCACTGTTAAACAGCTTGTTTCAACTGCTAGCTTGCAGAGTCCAAGAACAGGTCAAATAATATCTTCTCAAGCAATGTTTGAATACTGCCCAAAGTCAATCAGTGGGATTACGTTTGTGTACGCCACTGCTAAAGAAATGGAGCTAGTAAGAATCAAACTTACTGATAGACTATTAATAACAATAATATTAATAAGTTTCCATCAGTTTATAACTTCTTCTTATTCAATTATAAAAATGAAAAGGGTATCCAATGATGATGATTTTGCTCTAACATTTGACTTCCTCAATAAACAAAAATACGAAATTAATAAAATTGAGAGTGTTATGTCACAATACCTATTTTGCAAATACGACGATTTTTACTGGCTTGAAATGGTTTCTGAAGTTGATAAAGAGAATGATGATTTTATGAAAAAGTTTATGCATCCAAATTATCCAAGTTGGTCATACTACTAGCCAAAGCGGGATGATAATTGCTGGGTGCCAAGAATGAATGTCATTTTTCTTGTTAAAACACCGTCAACATCTTCTGGGCGTCAGTACCACATCACAAAAGACGAAACTCATTTTGAACATCTTTTATCTTGTCAATGAAAGTTGATGAATATTTTACTTTCATTATTTAAATTATATAAACTTCAATTTTAGTCATATTTGGTTTATTCCTTTTTTCTTTTTATTTTTGAGCTTTTTTCAATAAAGTAATAATGTTACGTTAAACTATTATAATTAATAAATAAAGAAATTATATTTTCAATGTGTTGTATAGTAAATTACATTTCCATGTATACTTTTGAAAATATTGATTATAAATATGCAAGTTATGCAAAGCATTATAATTTTTTTATTTTCTTTTAGAAACCTAAACTTTTTTAAGACCTAAGTTGATGAAAGCGCAACCCATGGTAACAGAACAAAAAGTTGGACTGACCATTTTAAAATCAAAAAGTAACCATCATAAAATTTAAATTTCACTATTTGCTTTACATTTTTGAATTCAGCACCCTTAAAAATAGTCAAGTCATTTTTAGCCTCATTCTTCCTTTAGATTTTAAATTATTCATTAAAAAGTACAACTACAAAATCCATAATAGCCGGAATTGGCAAAAAAAGGAACGTTTTAGGCTGAATTTCAAAACGTCATAACTTTTGAACCATTTGGATTTGGGAGCTCAAATTTTGCATTTTTTCATGTTTCATTATATTGTACCACCTGGTTAAATTTAAAGAAAATCCAAGAGGTGGCTGAAATGACTGTCCCAGTTTTACATGGAATGACCCATATGATATATAGCTCTGATATCATTCATCGAGCACTCTTGCTGAATATATGTTCACAGAAAAATTAAACTTATATATATATATATATATATATATATATATATATATATATATATATATATATATATATATATATATATATATAAAGGATTATAACAATTATTATATATAAAGGAATATAACAGATAAGCCATTACATTTAATATACACAAATTGATATATTTGTATATATATATATATATATATATATATATATATCAACCCTCTTAATAAGGAAAAATGAGTTCAGCAATAATTTGCCAACCTCAATCTTATTGAGCTCGGCATCAGGTCGGCAAAAATTATTTGATACAAAGCTTGAACATAGAAACGAGGTCGGCAATTTTTTGCTGACCTCAAGCCTTTTCAGGTCAGCAG